TCGCTCTACCGCTCTCGCTCGCACGCCGTGACGTCACCCGATTCCCGGAATCCCGCGGCCACGAGATGGCTCATTACGGTAAGGCATTCCCGCAACGGCCAAAAGGTAGATTTGATAAACTACTTATGAAACTACGTCTATTCTGAATTTATCTGTTACGAATATACAAGTGTAAGGCAAGATATAAAAACGAATAAAACAAGAACATGTAAGGGGGTTCTATGACCCCTGTAACCAAGCTACTACCACGGTCGTATATACAGGTTCGAAAACTTCCGTGGCGAGGGTGAACCCTTATAGAAAAAAAGTGTACTTTCGAATTTTGATATGAAGCGAGAGCACTACATTCTTTACATCCAGTCATGTACCTAGGAATGGGACCTTGCGCTCCGTCTTCTAATTCCTATATCCATGGGTTCCCTGTTGCGCATGCACCTATGCGTTCTTACGGACACATCGATTGCAGCGCTGTGTGACTGGCACAAGATTTATGAAACTTCCGGTCGTCCATAAAAGATCACTATTCGGACCTGTATAACGACCGTAGTCGATACGAGTACTTTTATTCGATACCTACTTGGAATCGCAACCGCAGATATCGATACCAAAAGTACTCGGTATCGAAACAAAAGTATCGAGTAATGTACTCGTATTTACTTGTACGATTCATCCGTAACCAACAGCCCCATTAGAAAGAGAGGCAGCTGCTCCAGCTATTGTCCTCTCTGTCTTGTGTCGACTTCATATAAGACGCGTAATCTATTATATATATCTATGACGTTAGATTATTAAGACTCCGTCGGATGAATCATCGTATCATGCGCGCGCAAGAAGCACAGTTGTTCCTTGTTTTTTTACTCGTAACGTTTGTTCGTGTTGAGTGGTGTTGAGGTGTTGAGTTATACTCAGATGAGTGTGTAAATGTTGACAAACACTATAAAACAACATTAAAAAAAAAACATTATCTTACAAAATTCACGTCGAAAATTGAGTGTTCCTGTACCTCTGTGTGTGTACGACAGATCGAATCATTTATGAAGAACCGGGTGTTTCTGTCGTACAGTATCGGTGAGTTTTCTATAAATAGAAAGGCTTTCGGAAAAACGGGTAAGGACATCAGATTGAATTGCGATACACTATTAACATATTTCCGTTGTTTATGATTAACATACAAATGTGCTGTTGAAAGACAACTTTTGGAAATTCTTTCAAATAGTATGTATTACAGTTCTGCCGCGATCGGAATATTGAAATTTAATGCGACTTTACTATTGCCAAAAAACAGCAATAAAAATATGTAATTTTGTATCCCGTAACTGTGTTGTGTTCGCGATAATTTGTACCATCGTTTTTTTCGTAAACGGTAAATATTAGAAAAAAACCGAAGAGGAGGAAGTTGTATATTTTACTAGTAATATGATAGCGTATCAAAAGTTTTTGTATTTTTAATATTTTTCTATAAACGAAGGCGACCTTAATTTTTTTAAGTGGAATGCTACATATTTTTCTACATTATATCAAAACGGACATTAAGCAAGTTCAACCATGTAATATGTCTTCAGGGTCATACAAGGGCAGAAATAAAAGAAATAAATTTAACATTTCGTAATATTGTACTTACTAATAAGACTACATCTCGTGTTCAATGTGACTTCCATTTGACAACAAATCTGGTTGCTTCAGACCCGGTAATTATGGGAAAGTAAACTATCAAAGTATGAAAACAATAATGGTAGGACAAGAAGTCACATTTGTGGAAACTTTGTTCGAAAGCCGAAAGAATGCAAATTCTTCTAGAAAAATATTACAAATACAAAAACTTTGGATACACCATCATATTACTAGTAAAATATACTACAACTTTCTCCTCATCGGTTTTTTTCTAATGTTTACCGCTTACGAAATAAACGATGATACAAATTATCGCGAGCACCCTGTATAGTATGTATAATTATGGGAGATGTGTTCGAAAAAATGTTAGTCAACGGGAGTGAAAGGGACGGAAAAAAGCATGCCTGAAATAGATGCCAACGGAGAAGGGCTTTGTACAGATATCTTTCAGTTGGGTGGAATTATTTTTAGCTGACATTAAGCATAAGATAGGGGACCATAGCCTTCAAGATCCTAAGGGGATGTCCTGTGGCTGTACATCAGTCTGTATCTATTTTCTTGAGATAAAGTTTATACTTCTCTTCGACAGTGCTATGGAGAGTGAACAACGATGTTATGAGTTACGAAGCACAAGCAGATCTCGTTCTCAAACTCCTTTAATTCAAACACATGCCTTGTCAGAGTCAGAGGTTCTTGAACACCATTATGATTTAAGAAATCGAAGTCGAGAGAGATCACATACTCCTGGAGGGAGTATATCCAGTAAAAAGTCTGCTTCTAAATCTTTGTAAGTATAATATATTTTAATCTTTATCCAAAGGATACTTTCAGTGTACTAATTAAACTTGTTTTAAATTTTACAACGAATGTGGTTGCTTCAGACCCAGTAATTATGGGAAGGTAAACGATCAAACTATAGAAACAATAATGGAAGAAAAAGAAGAAGACACATCTGCGGAAGCTTTGTTCGAAAGTCGGAACAAGAGGACAGAAAATTCTTCTGCCTCTGCGAGAAAAGTAGAGAGACGATCAGGACGTCAAAAAGCAAAAAGGGAGATACTTGCAAACGGTCAAGGTGAAAAGACAGATGACTCGCCTGGTGCAAAGCAACAGAAAAAATATAACAATCCTCATAGGACAGTAACCAGTGATTATTCTTCAGAGGAAGGAGAAAAAGAGGATTTGCCGAATAGACCAAGTACTATTCACGAAATTTACAAGCAGGCTGGTGATTGGTGGAAGTACGTAGTTTAAAAATTACAGACTTGTATTTGTATATTTTTTTTTTAATAGTTTATCATATGTAGCGGGATACTGTTATAATGTTTCAGTGTGTTCCCAAAAACAGACTATACTTATTCTAAAAAGTCACAATGTCGTTACGAAATTGCACCAGGTATATTGGCAATGCCCAATATGTCACGACGTTCGATACATTCGGAAACAGACACTTTTAATCATTTGACGCGTGTACCATCAGAAAGCGGTATATACGAAGCGACAAGTTTTGAAAACAACACAGAATCAAATGATCATGAGAAATCGAACATCGATTATACAAAGTCGCACGTAGAACGATATCGTTGCCACAAAGAAGTAGTTCATACAGTTCCCAGGAGTTCGACGAAAATTCAATCAAGGTCTGTTTGCGTAAATGTATTTATGTGGGTAAGGGTGGGGTTTAGTATTTGAACAAGTCAATTTTCTACTTCGTCTAACAAACATTCGTTTGTTCCTTTTGTTTATTTCAGCCAATTATTGCGTTCCGATTCATCATTAAAATCTATCGACTCTTGGAAGTACAGTAGAGCATCCTGTGTTGACTCCGATGCAGAATTGGACGACGCAGTATCGGCATCGAACAAGTTCAGTAAAAACAGGAAGTTAACGCAATCTTTCCTAAGTTTTACAGCGATCATTAGTGCGTGGTTTAACAAACTGTTCGAATTTGTAAAACTGAAAACATTTAGAAGAAGGGAATATTACAGCCCTCACAGATACGGTATTGTTGAATTAGTAGTATATGCAGTAAATTAGTCCAATAAATATGCGAAGAAATCTAGTTGGCCCAATATAACTAGAGAAGTAAAATGTATTCATGTAAATGTTAATTTCTTTCGATTGCAGAATCTAAATGGTACAAAATCTGGCAACATATTGACCGTTGGTTGCAGTATGTTTATCTGTTTATGGTTAAAGTATTGCTCTTCGATTCGTGGCTGCTGAGCCGATTTTCCAATATTAGAAAATGGATGCAGCAAAGGAGCCCTAAGATTCTCTGGATCGCTCTACTGCCATTGCTCTTTCTAACGGGTAAATTTTGTCGAACGTTACGTCGTTTTAAAAAGGTTCACCAGGAAAGAGATTAATCTTTTCGCATCTATATTTTGTTTTTACATCAGCCATAATATCGAGTTATCGCCGGCGGCATCCTTGGGCAGATCGGTGATATCTATCCTGGCGTTTGTTTTTCTTTTTGTTTCAGGAATTTACGCCGTGAAAAACCAGAACATTATCGGTCTGGATTTGCTGCACGATTATATTCCCTATGACATATATGAAACGAGCAATCGTATCTCTTGCAATTTTGTTAATACAATGCGTTTCGAAAACAGCTTATTTCTCGAATACATAAAGAAACTAACAAATTTGCCAGCATATCTTCTACCCAGTGTAAACGTATCTTTATCGGAGATGCCCAGCATTGGTTGGAATTCGGTCTGATGATCGATTGCGAGAAATTCGTTTTCCACGAGGATTGTTCAATTTCGTGTATACGTAATTTCAGAGCAACATGAAACTAGGATAGCTTTTTATTTCGCTGTTTTCAAATTTCGAAATTTTATATTTATCATTGCTACGCTTACTAACCTCTCGTCGTTCGTTTTATTTATATTATTTATTTTCAAACTCTTGTTGTCGAAGTATTATTGATGCTTATCGCGTGTTTTACTAACAGACTGTTATACATTTATATATCTACATTTACTAATACAAAATCACAAACGTCGCCGCGGTGTACGCGAAAAAAGGGTATTGTCGTGTTAGGATGGATATGCGTAAGGATATTTGGGGGTATTCACATGTGTTATACGCACACGCATAAGATTTCGTTTTCATATGTAATATTGTTTATTTATTTGATATGCTTTCATATATTGTGATTACGAGCGTTTACGTTTGAAAATTGTTGGTGCTATGGTATCTATAAAGATACATTAATACACGATTGAACGCGTACGCAGAATTGCTTCTCTATGAATATGAGAATTTTCGACATCTTAACGGCATTCGTGTAAGACGTAACTTTATTGTAATCAATAATGTCTCGCGAATGGATGAATTAAAGACGGGAGAAGGATAGAAGAAGTAGGATTGCTTGACTGCCGATGTAAAATTGGAGTATATGTGCTTCACGGGGAATGTGGACACGATCGATATCTTGATGTCATCGAAACGGTGAGTCCTCTTCGTCTATCCTTCTCTCGATAGCTGTATCAAAACGACAAATCAGTGAGATTTAAGGAAGATGGTCTTTGTACTTTTCAGGTAGCTGGTGTTTACCGTATTTCTCGACGTCGTTTCATTCAGTCCGAACAATGACTCGACAGCTGCGAGAAGCATCAGAACTGTTCACGGTAAATAGGGGATCATTTCACGAAGCGGAACGTTTCGGAAGAACAGAGGATTTCGTGTCGATCGTTGAAGAACTGAACAATCGAATCAGTACGTTGGAGGATCGAACTATTGAACAAACAGTAAGAACTAAACGTTTAAGAACGAGATCAACATTTTTTTTTTCTATCATTCGATAATTTTAATAACCGCGAAATATTGAACATGCGCAGAATCGTCTTTTAAACATTAGTGCGACCCTCGAGAAATTCAGGGAAAGCGACATTGTTTGGTCAAAATTCAACGTAAGTGTAAACGAATAGGTTGCTGGAAATTTGATTAAATTCGAAAAAATATAAGTAGAATGTTTATTGTAGAATAAGATGCTGTTGCTGGATAAGACCATAGAAGGTCAAAGTTTAGTTGACACGTACAATCACGAAATTGAAGGAATTAAACTGCAGTTCGAAACATTGAAGGGACTTTATTCGGAATTAAAGTTGTGTTGTAACACCCAAGTGAATCAGATCAGTAGCGACGATCTAGAAAGACGCATTGAAACGATTCTAGCCGGGTATCTTAATGCGTTGGTATCGAAGCAGGATTTGATGAAAGCAATTCAAAGTGCGATGCTCGCGGTCGACGAGGGTGATTCAGGAATTGGTAAGTCACTTTTTCTTAAATTATTGTACACAGGCCCGGGATTAAGACTTTTTGTGGCCCAGGGCTATCAGGTTTTCGGGGACACCTTTGGTTCAACAGTAGGTTTTTTGTAATACAGCACAAGAAAATACATAAATCTTAAAAAATTGAAATTTACTTTAAATAAAATTAAATAACATTTCATCATAACGAAATGAAATGTACAGAACGCCCCCCCCCCCCTAAAACATGGAGGCCGGGGCTACAGACCCCCCTAGATCCGCTCTTGATCAGGTGCTGATTATACATAAATAATAATTATACGAATTAGAAACAATACTACAGTAAAGGAATCTGTCATTACAGCCCGGAAGCGACCATTTGCAGTCGCCGATGATGGCAATGTAACCGATGACCGTGTTCGCGAAATAGTCAGAGATGCTTTAAGGATATACGATGCGGATAAAACAGGCCGCGTAGATTATGCTTTGGAATCCGCAGGTATGATTAAAAGTTGTTCGTCCGACGAAATTGTTGACATTTTTCACCAGCTTCGAGAAAACTAATTTCCCTTTCATTACTATATAGGCGGTCAAATCATTAGCACGCGTTGCACGCAAAGATACGATATAAAAACCAGAGCTTTCAAAGTGCTGGCCTTTACGCTTTATCACGAGAATAACAATCCTCGAACGGTAATACAAGGAAATCCAATACAGCCTGGTGCATGCTGGGCGTTTCAAGGATTTCCGGGATATCTACTAATTAAATTGCGTAGCTCTATTTACATTAGTGGATTCACGGTCGAGCATGCACCCAAGTCGATTTTACCCAATGGAGAAATGAGGAGCGCCCCAAGGAAGTTTAACGTTTGGGTAAGTGAATTGGTATTTTTTTTCAACATCTGTACATTCGTTGAACTTGTTATTCGCACAGGGGTTTGTTAACGAAAATGATCCCGATCCGGTGATGTTTGGCGATTATGAATTCGCAGCTACAGATGACAATTTACAATATTTTCCCGTTCAAGTAAGTTACATTTTAAATGTTAATTTTCTCTTATATCTGTACTTACGCAATACTTGCTGCCTTATTTTTCTTCTACAAATCGTTTAAATGGTTACTGCTTTCGTGTGTAGAACACAACGATCGAGACTCCGTACGAATTCGTTGAATTAAGGGTGCACAGTAACTATGGACAACTCGAGTACACGTGTTTATACCGATTTCGCGTTCATGGAAGACCAGTATGAGCCGTGATAGATGGAAATGACGTTTACGTTACTTGGCCATCGGAGATTCACGGTGTAACATCCAGCGTGGCTTTATAGACATAACCCGCGTCGATCAAGATTTCAGCTCTTTATGTCTGGATACGTGCCTTCAATTATCCATAGATAAAACAATTAATGTCATAATCATAGGAGGCTACTTGCTTTCGAACGCGCTGTGACACGCGAACACGAACAATGTGAATACAAGTTACCGTTATCACCGATAGGTTATAGAACACAAGTGTGCCCAAGTGTCGTCGAGAGTCAAGTGTTAAGTGTCGTCGAGAGTCAAGTGTCAAGTGTTCAGAACCGATTACTTTTAAATAATGTTACTCCGCCCCATTTTTAGTTCGTTCGTGTGAATTCTATCCATGTTCTTTTCTTTGTTAATCGTATGGTAAAAGCACAAAGTTTATACGCTTTCATCCCGCAACAAGATAAGAACAAGCGTGTCACGCGACATTCAAGAGAGAGAGAAAAAAAAAAGAGTACACTGTGTTCCAAATATTATCCAAAGCTGAATACCGCTAAAGTTGTAAGGTTAACGCGACAGTACAAATTATAAGAAAGGAAAGCAGAAATTCGGTAAATGTAAACGTAATTTAAGAACTCCGTTTGCAGCGTTTCTACGGACCGCTAATTATAATATATTGTTCTTTTCTTTTTTCCTAGAAGTTCAATATATTAGGTTCATAATATATTTGGCTTGTGCCGCATGTGTGTGTGTGAGCATAATGTATAAATCGATATGTATGAAGTATAAAGATAACTATTTTGCAACTGCGAAATAAATTTCATATCCACTGACAGTAATCACACGTTGCGTGCGCCAGTGCTGTTCAGCGTAGGAGTCCCTCATGTCTTTGCTCTCGTCAAGAAAACTGTCGCTACGACTGCCTTCAACCGCGTCTTTGTTCTATGGTAACATGGCGGATGGTGTTGGGGCGGCCTTTGTCTTCGGGGAGATAACTTTGGACAGCGCTGGCATAAGCGATACAAATGATCATTTCTGTGGCTTGATTGTTTCCTTTTTTTCTGTTTCCTGGTTTTTATCTTTCCATTTGATTCTTTCTCAGCCCAACCACTCGAACGATTGCAACGTACCAGTTCGAGACAGTGCGTTATATAATTCCTTGTGACAGACTCGAGAGCCTGGAGTACCTTCTTGCAACACTTCACAAAAAAAGCATACACGAATCGTGACGCAACATTAATTAAATCTGGTTACTCGTTGAAATCCACGAGGCAGACTACACACGCACATAAACAAACATATAAAATAAACACTAAATATGTAAACTGCAATTGAACTAAAATTCACTATATTAAATACATGAAGAGCCCCCGCTGGTTATTAATGTTATAAGTTGTTATTCAGTTTCTAGGCTTTGGAAATAAAAAAATCCGTTCTGCAGTCACGTGGTCAAATGCGCGCATGCACATATGAACAAATGCCCTTTTCGTAAGCGACAAATTCTCTAATACTATTTAAAAATGTGGGGGATACTTCGCGTTGACAGCAACCACCGAACTAAGGAAACGTTTCTCGAATCACAGGTAAAGGGCCGAGAAGTAACAAAAATGTGTAAATACCGAATGGTGTAGTACTTACTACCCGTTTTTCGGCAGCGTCGCCAACGATCGGCACGAAGAAAGATAATAGTACCATTTGATTATTGTCTAGTTATCGTTATCGAAGAACAGACTTTAACGCGAAGATGGTTATATTTGGAATCGGAATAATGATATCGAAATGAAACAAAAAGCCGATTGTAAATGAAATCGAAACGCCAGATCGAATTGAAATGACGTAGACGTTGATTTTTGAATCACCTGTTTATTCACGCGCAACAAGAATTGCTGCAATAGATGTGTCAGTAAATGGTACGTGTACACACCCGGTGCGCAGATATCGTCGTCGTTTAGTAGGTACATGAAGCGCGTGAACACGTTTTCACATCCACATACGTGCGTTTATACATATACGTTTTACGTGCGTGCGTGCTGTGTATGTATATGTACACGCACGCGCGCATCCTCTGTCTATATTCGTGTGTGACCGACCACACGCGTTTGCTAATTGTAACATGTATTTTTATTTTTTATATATATATATATATATATATTTTTTTTTATATTTATATATAGTTGAAATATATGTAAACTATATAATATATATTATATATTACATGCGACATAATGTAATATACATTATATATAAAATTTTACAAGAATCAAATCTAATAGAATACGCATCCTTAGGCCGTTTCATTTTTCGTTTCTACCCGCGCGTCTAAAAGGAAATAATTACGGTATAATGCTGTTCTTCGTACGGTTATAAAATAGCGACGATTAAGAGAAGGATGAACGGAGAAACAATCAGAACTGCAATTTTACTTTCTTCTTTTACTGTTTTCTTTTTTTTTTGTTCTTATGCGTGTGACGTAACTTTCGAATAGCTTCGTTGGAATTAATCACGATTTCCGGAAGGAAATTCAGGGGCGCAAGAGAAACGAAATAAATACGCGTTTCGGCAAAGAGAGATTTTGGAACGATAACGAAGTCGGAATGGCTTCAATACTGATCTTGGAATGGTTTGTGATTCCCTCGTATGGGAATGCGTCGAAGCATTAAATAATATTCCTAGAATTTCATTAGCGTGTAGTCGCCAACGGATCCTGTACAAGAGTAAAAGTCGGAGATCATCTATTGGAGCGTAAGTATACGCAGAATCGAGGACTTGATATACATTTGGAAGAACACTGGACATACATATAAGTTTTATGACCGCTTTACGATCGTCTTCCTCCAAATTTAAGAACGCAAACAAATAAATAAATACTATGTGTATACTACATAGGGACATACTCCGTTACACCGGTTGACTCGCTCACGAACGAAGTTACACGCCTGTCATTCTTATAACAACGTTCTATAGCTTTAGTCTCGTTTTGTTCTTCGGAAAATTTTCAATAGTATGCTTGGAGCTTTCGCAGCGTTACCATAGTAATCGTAACAACAATAAGTATACTATAAACTAACAATATAATGTAATATAATGTCATATCATATAATATAATAATAGTAATAAAAATAATAATAATAGTAGTAGCAGTAGTAGCAGGAGTAGTAGTAGTAGTAGTAGTAGTAGTAGTAATAGTTGCAGTAGTAGCAGTAGTAGTGGTGGTGATGATGTTGGTGATAGTAGTAGTAATAGTAGTTGTAATAATGATAATAATGATAATTGTAATAGTGGCTGTAGCAATGATGGTAGTAGAAATATTAGTGACAGTAACAAATGTAAACCACAGCGATAACGGTCGTTGTTGTAGTAGTGTTGCAATTATAGTGTTATAATTGCAATGGTAACGGGAATATTATTAGAAAAGAATTGGTGTAGATAATACACAGTAGTAATAGTTGCAGTGAAATCAATAGTAGCAGTGACGGTAATAGTACTTGTAATACTTTTAATTGTTACTGTAATCATGTCAGTGGTCACGATGACGGAAATAACAGTAGCATCGGTGAGAGCAGTGGTAGTAACTAGTAAAAGCGATTAATTACGCGATTGACGTTACTAACGATACAGTCCTCAGGATACACGTATGTACATATAAAGTTGTTCAATGCCCTGTTCGTGCCAATTGTGAAAAAAAGATTCTGCGGACTGGCGAAAATTTCACCACCGCAACAACTGAAACACTGTGCGCGAGTATTACTTCTGTGTTCACATATATCATACAATATCATATCATATCATATAAGCTGTGCCGGTCAAGCGAGGTTTTTAAAATAGTAATTTTGCATAAATCAATGAGAACTCTAGTTACCTACTTATTTGAAAGAATATACTGTATAAGTAACACGTACACGGTCGTTGATTGTTTTTACTAAGGAATAATATCAATACGTAAGAAAATAAAAAATAATAATCGTCGCAATAAAGAAACGACAATGTTCAACATAAATAATTAATAATTAATTGGATAAAAACATGGCGCAACACGTGGGCGCAAATATTCTGTCGACTAGATTCGTATGGATCAATCGCACGTACGATTCGCTCATAACCGTTTCACTTTTCTAATCTGATATACACACAACCTTTCGTAAGAACGAAAACGACAAAGGCGAGGGCGACGACAACACGTTGCAATAGTAACAGTAACGGTAACGGTAACGTTAACACCGTGACAACAGTTCGAATGCTCGCTGCTCGAAATTCAAATTATCACACATGTGATTTCGTTGTTTTCTGAGCCAGCATATTCCACGCTAGTTACATATGTATGTATGTAGGTAATCCATGTATGTATGTATGTATGTATATGTACGTATGTATGTATGTATATATGCATCGTTTATGTATTTCCCTCTCAGCCGTCAGCACAGTCTCTGTCGTTTTGCGTTTACCTGATCGTTTCGGAAAAAAAAACACAAAATAATAAATGGAGGTATTTTGTTGTACAACGTGCTGTTTCAGCCCTCAACAAGTTCAGGAGTTCTTATTTCTCATGTTTCGGAAGTAATGTAAGCGAAGGTTAGAATTTGAAATAATATACCGCGTGTACAATCGTCAAGATTGTTTCCCAGAAATCGCTGGCTTCTCGTTTCCCTCCTCGTTCTCGATCGGTTTCGTTGGAATCGTTCATCGCGGATGTTGCAAACGAATGGTGTTCGCGATGAAACGGCCGTTCGTAATCCTTTTCTCTTTACTTGTTACCTCCTAGGTACTCGACCATCTCCTGGAACTTTTCCTTCTCATCTTCAAGCAGCAACGCTTGAATACAGCTTGTAAAGTATTGCGTACCAAAGCAACCTTGCCTGGAAAGAGAAACGAAAAATCGCGCAATGCGCAGAATAATAAATTAGAAGAGATCTTCGTATTCTGTTTCTGCCATTGTATCGACACGTATCGTTTACTGTCGATCTCGCAGCAGACCGACCAGGAGGATCCGTTCGTTTTCTCTTTTCAAACATACATACTATACGTATGCATGTACAAATTTATGTAGATATGTATCTCGCATCTGCGTTGCTGGTTCACCACCACCCACCAAATACGCTTCGACCATATACATACGCACCTACCTACGTCCCCTATCAATTTCAACTATATCTGGACCCCCGAGCCAGAATGTATTAAGTTCACTTTTTAAAGAAACGACCATTTACATGTTTTCTGTAAAAATTATTTCGTTCTAAGTCGTCTAGTTTTTAATATAAGTACATAATAGTCTGAAAATGATATTAAGTTCATATTTTTAAAACAGTTTAAAGTCCATCACATAGGGGAATTAATGTAAAGTTCACCATTTCTACATATAGAGACTTAAATCCATTCAATAGTTCGAAGATATCGATTGTTTCACGTTCAATTCTTACCGAACGGTTCCAAAGTTACAAGGATTTTGCATCTTTGATTTGCTCTCCTCTAAAGTTTGAGTAGTGTGACTTAAAACGCTTTAGTTCTGGAGTCCAAATTATGTACGTATGGATGCACTATACATATATGTATGATATCTATTGTACATATGTAAATACATAGATATGTATGTACGAGCAAGCAGATACGAGGAATTTTGCGGTGAAATACAAACGAATCCGTTAGCGAATCATAATTATTCGTCAATGTGACTTAAGAACGGGTTTGCCTGCTTGTTCTATTGCTCTTAAAAAAGCACACTATCGTAAAAAAAACTGTACGTTGGTTAAAAAGCAAAATCTCCGTTGTCTCCGATACAAAACCTGTAAAAATATCTCATTGCTATAAAAAACATGTTTTAACAATCTCATTCTCGGAGTATCAATTGCCAACGATATGCTGCTTCCTTCGGTTCTCTGAAAAATGTTAGCGAAAAATTCAGCATCGTGTCTCCACGAGCCGTGACAAAAAATGCACGAGCGATTGGTCGAAAAAACTGTCGATCGTCGCTGTCGAGAAAAATATGAAAAATATTGAAAATATGTAGCGCGTGTCTCGGGGCGAAAATACGCGTTGGTAAGAAATAAGATACGAAAATGAGTATCGGACGCGATACTACATATGCAAGTGATTCGTAGGGTAATTTTTCCGCTCGTTGTATCCTAATGTAAATTAACCGCGATACTCGTAAGCGTGCCAGAGTTGGGCAAAATGTAATCTGATTACAAAATCTAAATTGCAATTACAATGTAATTGCAAGATAATTGCGGGACAATTACAATGACATTGTAATTTTTATTGTAAATTTAGTATAGTTAATTACGATGTAATTGTAATTGGAATCGTCCCGCAATTACATTGTAATTGTGATTTAAGTTTTGTAATTAGATTACATTTTACCCAACAGTGACACGTGTGTACGGGCGAATTCACAAGGCTCCAAAAATGTATATATGTATGTATTTATCTACGAGTGGTTACAAGTGTCGTATTTCCACCTGCATGGTTCAGTACCGTACTTATTGTTCCAAAACCAACGAAGAATTACCTAAACGCGTGCACAGCGTGTACGAATTTCGCGTGCCCATCGTGTGTGTCGTGTTGATCGTCGAGTGGTTGTATGTGGAAACTCTTGGAACGTCGACGAGACGAATCGTTTGTGCAATGTCGGGATACAAGTGCATTAGTCGATTTGAAATGCAGGAAGGTAACGACGATGAGAGTTCATCGATGATAAGCAACGAAAACATAAAGTGATGAAATAAGGCCGAAAAGGAACAAGAACGAAAAAAAAAGGAAATAGAATAAATGGAAAATGGGAATCGAAGAGCTGGAGAAATAGGAAATCGTAAAGTTGGTAAAAATCGGTAGTAGATAGACGGGTAAGACGGTACAATACGGAGTCGGGTGAAACGGAGGGATCCAGAGAGAAAAGACGAATAGAAGAAACGAACAATAAAGTTGTAGAAATAGAAAAGAAAAACGCGCAGAAAAGAAATCATAAACGTAAAAAAAGAAGCTACCTAAACCCCGGGTTCCGCTCCGTGAAGTTGCTTGATCCACGTTTGAATTTTCTCTACTTCATCCTGCAGCAATAGCACGTCTAAGCATCCTTTGAAGTAGTCTGATGTGAAGCAGTTTTTCCTGGAAAAAATGTTAAAATACAAATGGTACCAGTGATAAACCCAAATACACCGTGGGGATCCTAGGTCTGGTCGCTGAAAGCAAACGGAACAAATTTTTTGTTTCAAGTCGTTGTTCGGTTCGTTTTAATAGGTCGTTGATTGTTCAGATAATGTTGATTGTATTCCTATTACCATATTACTAGATCATCGGACTCCACAATACGTTCGCGATGTGCGCATTTCTTGGTACCGTAGAAATGACAAAACGTAAACTCTTGTAAAAAGAAAAAAAAAAGGAATTTGTTTCCTAACAGATTTGGTAAAAAAATCCGAAAGAGCACGGATAAGAACATATAGGGAAAGAACCTCCTACCATGCTCCTACCACTTGGTATTGGTAATTACTGAAATTTACACCAAATTAACATTTGTTTCAGTACTTGAAGTAAATTTACTAAATGGTAGGAGGCCCTTTCTCCTCTTCCTTCCATATCAGCTGGCCTCTAATATGCTTAGTTTAGCTTAATTTGTATTATACTATTTTGTTGGTAAAGAAAATGCGGCAGATTTAACCATTCCCATTATGGTACCTACTGCCTGGAACGGTCATACGGTGAATGTTAGAATTTAAACCTCACTAGTTGTATCGAACGAAACGCACAGATGGGAGTACAAAGAAGTTTGCGTCGATGTTTACCTGCATAGTTGATGTAGCTGGGGTTCACGAAACAAGTTGTAACAATCCTCGCAGATACGGTCCAATCGGGCGAAGATGCTCTTGTCGTATATACCCTTGCATTGAATGTCGATGAAGGATCTTTTACCCAAAGGATGTCCGTTTAGGATTCCAGCGTCGGTTAAACCGACGCACGACGCCACGAGTAACAGCGTCACCGACCAAGCCAGAACAGAGACAAGTCTCGGGCATGGTACTGGTATCGACGAGGACGAAGTCGACGACTCGTTCGATAACAAAGATAGGCTCGAACAGGACGTCTGCTGCACGTTCCAAACATACGGCGGCGGCGACGGCGACAACTTCGAAGGTAACCACGTCGATGACGGCGGCGATAAGACGGCCGATGACGTCGAAGTAGTAGTGGTCGTTGTCGCCGTCGGCGTCGGCACGGACGTCGATGTCGACGTCGGCGCTGACAACAGCAAGACGCTCGACACGGATGATCGAGACGTTGAGAACGGCAACGATAACGACGAAGGAGACGACGATACCGATCGAAGCCTCTGTTGTCGATGCATAGTCTGTAACATACAAAAAGGAACTGTCTTACAAATGGCACACGGAAAGCATTGTGCCAGATTCACATTAATGGTCACAGTACGGTCAGATCAGGTCAAATACGGCAGCGAAATACAGTAAATTCCTGATGAGTGTTCGAAGGCTCCTCGGCATTGACAAGGTGAGGTCGTTTGGTGTAACGCTGATTTTTTAATTCGGTTTGACACGACGATAGAGCTGGGAATTCTGAAACTAATGATATTTGTTTCAGTTGTATATGACCATTAATTTATGAAACATTTAATGTTCAGTGCCGAGGAGACTTCGAACACTCATCTAGGATTTACTGTATAGTCTAAATTCAGAGTGATCTGATTGTGCCTTTGACCACCTAATGTGAATCTGGTGGTTAGGTTTGAAAGTAAATTGAAACGAAACCCACGATTGAAAATCAATCAAATTGATTTGAATTCGACTTTTGAATACGGCTTTTCAACACTCGGGTCTAAATGGACCCAGGAACCATAATCTAAGGGTTAATATCGTTGTAGCGTTTCCCCACCCGAATTATCTCTTCCTCGTAATCGCACCAAGCTGCTTTGCTACAGTTTAATCGCCTGCAAGTCAATTTCTTACAACAATTAATAATGGCGACAAGAACAACAATATCCACATTCACGAAAAGAAGAACCAAGACAGTTGGTCCTGTTCCGCGAATTTAACACTTCTGTAGGCAACCAGGTACCCAGGTACCCATTTCTAAATTTCCTTTCAAAATTTTGTATGTTCTCATCTAGAACAGTATCCTATAGGAAGGGAAAACTAAGACTTTCGGAAAACAATATGACAGTAAAATTATCTATCTTTACCTAATCTGTTGGAGTAAGGGGGTATTTCCATTGCTCGATAACCGTGAATATTTTGGTTGGCCACACAAGGGTTAAAGCAATTCGAGAGGTAAAAGTAAAGATGTAAAGCACTCTCCTAACCAGTCCCGCGGCAGTCGCTGTGAATGGACCACACGCAGGTAGGCCCCACCTGTAAACGTCCTGAACCGACAACTTCATTAAGCGGAGCCGAAGCGCGGAGCGGCACCGCACCGCGTCGAACAGCACTGTAAAGCATTGCATCCGTACCGAACCGCACCGCATCGTATATACCGAACCGCACCGCACGGGTAGGTACTGCATTGCAATGCGCGGGGACGAAGAGAAGCCTTCTTATGGGAGCCAATGCGGGGCAACGCAAGATTCTCGAACACACCACGGCTTCTCGATTCCTTCTTTTTTCGTCGTCTCATCGGCGGCACCTGCACACGCTCAGGAGAACGTTTCGCCCAGTTCTCTTTTTTTTCGGAACATAATCACCGCTCCCGGGTGGGATCTTATTTTTAGCCACGACCGATTCTCGGAACTCTCGTACCGCTCCACTCTATATCGGACCCCCACCTGGTAATTGCCTGCGGCTCGATAATTTTCCTCTAAAGTCGCTCAGTGGTGATCGTTAAAAGATTAACCTATACATTTCCAGACTGAACGTATACGCGTATCGACAGTCAATCCGTTTCGTTTGTTCTCTTTTGCCTTTTGTCGTCCGTCCCTTTCCGTCTTTCATTGATCACTAACGATTGCAAGTTGTGTGGAGAACTGACACTCATCGTCGTATGCTGATTCTCCTGGGTATTGGGACGTCCTGGAAGTACTTCTCTTTCTTATGTTATACATCGGAAGATCAAATGTAATCGCGTTGCTTTATGAATGATTAGGCTATCGAGTTCATACCGATTCGAACTTAACCAATGATTGGTGTAAAGAGCATTCTTACTCTGTAAGAAGGAAACGTCCAAGTAATCACCAAGTGTTACTTTTAGTAGCACTTTCAAAATCTGATTTGTCGATCGAAAATTACAGTTTACTACTTTCCACACTAAATAATCGAGTGATCGTTTGAAAAAAAACCGTTGGTTGGATGAATAAAATCAAGCAGCAGGATCAGATGGAATCGTGTGTAGAGGGTGAAAAACGGAGGACAACGGGCGTTAGGACGAAGGGTAGAGTGCAGATAGTGGAGAGCGAAGTCGAGTCGAGTAGAATGGAGAGTTGAGAGTAAAGAGGCGAAGTGAGTGTTTTTAAACGAAGAAAAAGTCAATGGAGACCGGTTGCTCGACAGGTGAGGTCTTTCCTCGACCACGCTATGCACAGGTGTGCAATCTGCAAATCCCCTTTAGCAAAAAAGCATACACTCTTCGGCACCGTTTCACGGTTGTGTCGCGAGATGCTGTCCAAGTACCCATTATACGTACGATATGTGGAAGTCGATAGTTTGCAGCGATCGTATACGACTATTTTTCTTCATTACTACCAAAACCACGTGCTCAAAATAAATTTCTTTATCGATTATTTCGCATGTTCGTTCAATATTTCGTAATTTTTAAATTACGAAATTTGTAATTTCCATGCCAAAACGAACTGAAAAAAAATAAAAGTTTCATAAGTTCTGCTAGATAAAGTTTTTTTTTTTTTGACGCACTCATTTTCTCAGTAAAATCGCTATTCATCGATGGATTGGTTAATATCGTTAGCCGTTTTTACACAAACGTTCTTGCGTGTCACAAGCGGGCTTACACGGAAAAATGTTGATGTAAATGTAATTTCCACGTCGAGGCCAATGTAAATTCTACGCACACAAGAGTACGAGCCTTCCGTTCGTTCGTGTTGGAAATATTTTCCACCGAAATCTAACAACAAGAGCAGAAATAAATATAAATTGAAGAGAATGCCACGCGTAAAATTGACGAAAGGACAGAGAGGATGAATGATTGAAAAAGGAAGAGGGAATCGGACGTAAAAGGGAGGAGTGGAATGAAAAAGAAGAACAATCTCAGGACGAGTCAAGTTGATCCGAATCGAGGTCGGTCGTCGAGGACAAGGAAGAAGAAGCGACGAGGGCGAAACGATCTATATCGTTTAGATACATGGTTCGCTCTCCTCACCAGGTGGTCCTCTTCCCGTGCCGGATGACTCAATCGTGAGAAGGAGTTGCTCTACGGCTCACGGGATCACGAGAGGCTTCGCTAGAACCGTGTGTATCATCGTGTCTTGGTCTCTGCCCGCGGCCGTCTGCGTTTGTTTGCGCTTATCCGTATTCTACTATACTCGTGTGATTACAAACCCAACTCTCTACAGACTACTCGACCTCCTTGGTTCTTCTGTGAGAGAAGGCTGTGATATTCTTGCAACTGTGAGGATACGGTAGACGGGCGCTTTTACTTGTTTCCTAAAATAATTGATCCCGTTAAGTATGATTTTCTTTTTTGTTAGTCTGGCCGTCATCTTGCTGTCATGTGTGTACGACAGGGGGAGGAAAGAGAGAGGGAGAGGGGGACAGAGAGAGAGAGAGAAAGAATAGACGGGTGTAGATGCATAACGAAGAAATAAATATGTTCAGCAGACGTACATTAAGCGAAGAAAACAGACTTGGTCAGACGAGAATTAAATCACGTTACACCTACCTACCTATCTATCTATCTATTTTAGTATCTATCTATCTATATATTTACCTACCTACCTACCTACCAACCTACCTACCTATTTACATACCTACCTACCTACCTATCTATCTGTCCATGTTGCAGTTGTTCTCTAATTCGTGTCTATTGGTTATCTCTGACCAGTCATATTCACCAAAAGCTTCCATGCATCGCCCATTTTTGATCGTTCGCAATGAACTCTGTCCCACTGCGCATTGCCTCGATATTACGAGTATCATTAAGAACTACGAAAAACGGAAAATTGGTTTGAGTATCGCAAAATACAGAAACAAATTATCAAGTGGATGATCGACACTGGAAAGTGAATACATAAGTTAGAAGACAGAAGTCTGTATACTTATGATCGAGCAAGGTTCGAGAAGTTTCTGGTAGGCCTCGTACGTACGCAGCTAGAGGTACTTTGAAAGTGTAGACGAGAGAAAACGAGAGGGCGGGGGGTTGTCGGCGGGACGAGGAGCAGGACGCGGAGAAGCCGAAGAACTCAGGGAGAAGGAGAGATAGGCGGGTTGAACGGACGACGGAGGATCGAGGCGTCCGGCGTCCTCGATCGCGGGGATCTTGGAGCAAAACTAACGATCTCCCGCTCGCTTGTAAGATCAACACGACGATAATTTAATACACGAGATCACCACCCAGGTGTGCTCTGACGTGTACAGATGCTGTGTGTAACCTCGACGAGAAGGGAACGGCTGAGTCGACAGAAGCGGGAGTCTGTATGCGATTCCAAACGCGAACTCGAGCTCTTCTCTCTCTCTGTATATATATATATCCCTTAAAAACAGAAAAAAAAGGGACAGACAGATGTTGGCGAATCGATTTTGTCGGATTGCAAGAAAGGATATCATTATAGTGTCTTAAGCCTAATAGACGATTTCAAAATCAGATATTTTCTGAAATTTGATCGTAACGTATTCAAAGGAAAAAGAAAAGCAACCATCAAACATCGAATGAATGCCAAGTACAAGCGTTAAGGAGTATGCACTTCTGGTGTCATTCCCTTTCGTAGAAACAACTCGATACGGCGAACAGGCCGACAAGATGAAAAAACTGAAATGCGTACGCAACGCGATTCGTTGGTTACACGAACACAGACTACATAAATAGAAGAGCCGATGACGTCAATCGTTCGCGTTAATTACATAAGAACAGTCCTATTAACCTATGCCGCGGTCGAGCGACAATTTAACGTTAATCGATTCAGACAAATGCCCCAAGAACCATTATACGGTCGTTCGATCTTGCTTATATCATCTCTGTTCTCATTATCCGGTCTCATATTCGCGATTTCTACCTTTTGGCTCGCGATAGTATTATCTTCAATCTCGGGACCGGGAGAGGGTCGAGCAACTACAATTCGATGAAATAGATAAGTGCAACAATCGTAGCGTTCGTCACGTTCCTCATCGCTAGCACACAGTTGTGATATGTTACACGAACACGGAACGACCAATGCAGTTGGCCAAGAGCAAATTT